CGAACTGCTTAGAAAGTTAACAACCGGTTCTCCCCAATAGGTGCGAACTGGCTGAATCCCACCACTGGCTCTATTGCAGGAAATGGTTCTCGTCTTTTATGAGATCCATCTTAACAGAGTGGCTAAACTATTTTTTGGGGAAATATATCCTGTGCTCTAAAAAAAAGCATTCTGGATGATGATGCTAAGTTGCAATATATTAAAAAACATATAGGTAGATTAGAACCTTAAATAAAGGCATAATCAAATTTGAATGATAAATCACTCTGTTTAGAAAGTTTACTACATAATGAACAAAATTTCCAAAAAAAAAAAAAGTTAAATGGTAATAGGAATGAACCAAATGAAGTAATGTGACTGCAAGAATTATAGCATTTTGAACCTCTTAGGAAAAAAGTCTGGAAGGAAGAAAGACACTTAATAAAAATGTCTGTATTGTCCTGAGATTTAATTACATATATAATAAAGTGTTGATTATGAAATACTGGTAGATATAAATTCAATGTGTAATACTATAGTGAAGGAAAGGAAAGGAAATATGTTTTTTACACTGTCTCAAAATATTAGAACCAAGTAGCATATCCTGGTATGAGATTCAAAACAGATAAAAGATAAGAGATAAACTAGGATTTGCAATTACATGATACATTAATTCGGCGAGATTTCAACAAGGAATTGGACAGATTCATAGAACATAAGGTGACTGATCAGTTAGTACTGTACATATTTAGTGCTTGTTATATTTAGCTGTAATAGTATTTGTTAAGGAACTGATGAACAGTTCCTTAATACATTCCGTGCTATTCTGTTCTGAATTGAAATACCAAGCTAATTCAGTATGTAAGATGATCATTATTAAGAAATTGAGTTAAGAAATTTCTGCAAGAGACATTACAACATTTTATGCTTACAGGGATGGAGACGATCTGGATAGTCAAGGAGAGGGAAGCAGTCAACCTGACACTATTTCAATCGCATCACGAACCTCCCAAAATACATTGGATAGTGATAAGGTAAACCAAAGATAATGAATTTGATTGTTTCCCGTGTTATTTAGCGCAACTTAACAATGAAACCATGCACATACATTTTTCTCCCACTGCGCAGGAACAAGTTTCCAGAACATAGGAATTAGAAACCTGGAGCTTATTTTAAGAATTGGATTTTATCTTCATTTTTATATCCTCGGATCTCCAGTAAATTCAGAGCTGGTTGTATATGTCTTCCAGATGGTCAATAGCGCTAAGCTATTAATTCCCGTGTTCCTTTAGTTTCAGCTATGAAAATTAGATCCTTTCAGTTTCTGCAACGCCATTCACGTAGATGAAAAACATATTTATATGCTTAAAGAGAACATAGGCGTTTGTACAAGTACAGAGAAAGGAGGTGGTTGTTTCCCCATCAGTTGAGAGGTGTGTGTGTGTGTTTATATGTGATTAGGTTCCACCACAAATGCGCGAACGACAAAAGCGCGCCTGACTAAACCGCGGTGACAAAAGCGCGCCGACAACAGCGCGCCGACAGAAGCGCGATTTAAGTTAAGGTAAGGTTTAGGGTTAGGTTTATGTTACAGCGCGCTTCTGTTGGCGCGCTGTTGTCGGCGCGCTTTTGCGCTCATTCGTCGGTGCGGTTGTGTCACCGCGGTTTAGTCAGGCGCGCTTTTGTCGTTCGCGCATTTGTGGTGGAACCTAATCACATATAAACACACACACACACCTCTCAACTGATGGGGAAACAACCCCCTCCTTTCTCTGTACTTGTACAAACGCCTATG